TGCTGAACCTTGTGGTCGCCGTTATGAGAGATGACCTGGAAGTTAGTGCCACTGCCTGTGGCAGTGAACACTCGGTTTGGGAGCGTTTGTCCAAGTGGTTGTTATTGCTTCATTTTCAGGTAAAAGCTCAGAAGCGTTTGGATAAAAAAAACAACCAAAAGGAGATAATTAATTCTATAAATGACCCTTCATTAGTGAAAAGCAGTTGCCCTTCAACTTTGTTTTGCGGTATATTAAAGGATTTCAGACACTGTAGTTCCAGGAAACGCTTAAAGGAGTCCCTTTGTAATTTTTTGTTTTGTTCAAATAAACATAGATGTGAGTCATTTTAAAGAAAGCTGCCAGAGAATGGCACTATTTAAAGGTTGTTTTATAAATTTAGAGTAAGAAGAAGAAGTGAGTAGGAGGCTTTAGTTATTTAAAAGTGTAAAGGACACTAACTGCATAAATGCAAAACTAATTAAAAAAGCCCCAGCAAAACAAACAAGAAAAGCAAATCCTTCTGCTCAGCAGCTAATTCCAGAAGTGTCTTGATTTCCAGGTGCCTTCCCAGTTGACTCCACAATCTTGTAGGTGCCTTCATTTCTGCTTCTCTGTGTGCCCAGAGCCACTGCTCTCAGCAGAGGACAGGGTGTCCAGTGATTGCCTTCATTTCATTGTGTTCCAGACTTCAGGCAAGTCAGTGCTAGGTTCTGCATGAAGCCTGATTTGGTAGGCGCGATCTGATTGCACCTGGCACTGTGACATAACTGTGTATATTGTGATAGAATTTCAGCTGCTATTTTTTTTTAAATTGTGAGTGGAGGGGAAAATTATTTTAACTTTTAGGAACTTGAATGCTTACTGTGGAAGCTTTGTACCAGGTGTAGACTTTAGTCCTATGTTCTTGGTCATGGTTATTTTTGGTTTGGTAGGTAAAAATGTAATTCTTTTAATTTTTTACATAGCAATAACAACAGGTCAAGTTCTGAATTTGGTTATGTGAGATCATTCTCAATACCTTTTGTTTTTAAATTCCTTTAACAGTTGCTTTTCTTTTAAAAGAAAAATGAAATACCGTGCAGTACTAGCTGAGAAATTAGTGCTTATTTTGAGTTCAGAGAGCTTCCTGTCAAAAGGCATGAACAAATTACTTCATTATTTATTTATTTTTACAAGTAGTTGATATAAGTTCATTGCTGCTCATGGTCTTTTTAAAAAAGCCCCTGATAATGTTACAAACTGGAAGTTTTAATGAATTTGCTTTTTAAAAAACTTGCTATTTTTGAAGCATTAGTTCTGATATCAGAAAACAGGTGGCTCACAGAAATATCAAAGTTCTTTGTACTGAACGCCTTTTGCAACCTGATCAAAGGCAGCTGATACATATCCAGAAAGCATCTGAAGAAATTGAATGATACTTTTGCTAAAAGATCCTCTTTTGTTATAGGTTGGCATCAGTGTGACACGCAACAAAAAGGCAGTAAGTGTTCTGTCTGCCCTTTGTTAGGTTTAATTTCAAGTGTTTAGTGACAAGATTTTTCAGTCGCTGCCTCAGTTGACCACAGCAGCTAAACTAGCCAACAGCACTGGTTGTTTCCTCTGTAAAACCACTTAAAAGTGGAATACTTTTAACTTACTGATAGAGTGAATTAAATATACAGGAATTTATTTACTCTCACACATATTCTTTAAAAATTGAGAGATGAAATTTTTGTTGGTAAGACTTAATTTCTAGTATTCAAGGCCGATAGTGATAATCTAGTTCAAGTTGTTGGGGTTTTTGATTTTTTTTTTTTTTAATTTAAGGTGCCAGAAGAGGGCTAAAACCCAAAATCCTGTATAGATTTTATTTTGAACGAGTCTAGTTTTGTTAGGAGACAGAAGTCTGATTTGGAACATAGGTGTCCTTTTCTTTGGAGAAGAGATAGATTTCAGTGACATTAATCTTCTAAAAATCAATGCTGCAGTTCTTTCTGATCTCCATGAGATGTGGATTTTGTCTTTCATGGTTGGGTAGGGTATAATGCATTAGTGATGGGGAACACTAGGAAAATTGTTAGTGTATAAATCATCTGCTTGAATTTTCATTTAGAATTTTAGAAGCAATTAAAACAATTAGCTTAGAATTGCGTATCATAAAGCCACACATTCTTTTATTCCAAGACTTTTGTTAGATGTAACTCTGCAAGTGCAAACACTTAATCACTGCTGGCTCAATGGGAGAGCTGCTTTCTGCCATGGGCAGATACTTTGGCAGGATATGGGATCTATGCTCCTACTCTGAAATCTTTAACAACGGGCTTCAATTACCTTCAATTTGACCTGCTTAGTGGGTGAGGGAAAGGCTGTCAGTGTAGTTTACCTGGACTTCAATAAGGCTTTTGGCACCGTCCCTCACAACATCCTTATGG